GGTTCGGTGGAACCCAGGTTAGGTTCCGGCGAACCCAACTCGACTTTTTTTTTTGTTATATGTTTGTTTATCAAGAGATTATCCAAATTGCAGATTGTTGTAAGTGATTTTTGAGATTTTTTTCTTCATATTTTTGAAGTATTGTCTAAATGATTTCAATCTTGAAAATGAAAAGAACATTGTTGATGGAAAGAACAGAAACAGTAATCAGTCGATGGAAAGAACAGAAACAGTAATCAATGGACAAAGAAGCAATTCTTAGTGGTGATGTGGGACCCACTTAGATGGATTTGACGCGTTTTGGCCACGGTGGCATGACATGGCAAAAGTTTTTGTGCACATCATCACTTTTTTAAATTTTGCTCTCCATGTCATCAAAAAAAATATAAAAAATGTCACATAAGCAGAGTTAACGGTTCAAATTAACAGAAGGACTAACGGAGTGCATTTCGTATAGTTGAGGGATCAAAAAAGTGCAAAAAATTGTTAAAAGATCAAAAATGTGCAACTCACTAAAGTTGAGGGACCAAATTTAGCATTTAACGTATTTAAAATCATCACTCATCTTCTCGAAAGATATTCATATATTCAATTTGTTCAATGATATGCCCCGTAGCACTTTCGTTAGGATACTGAAACTCTTCTGTTCAAAGCAAAAAATAGAAAAATTAGAAAAAGCAAAGATTGTCAAAGAGTAAAGATTAGTTTCACGTATTTTATGAAAAACCTCACAGATATTCGAATAATTACCTTATCGACCAATTGAAAACTAAAACAGTAAAAATCTTGTGTTTCGTGTAAAAATACGTTTTTTTAGTGTTCTTCCTTTTTTGTAAAATATTTTAGTGATCTGGATACGCATCTGTATTAGTTTATCAGTCAAAAGATATATGCAAACAGGATGTATGCAAAATAGCTTCGAAAATCAAGAGCTCCCTTCCTATTTACAATTTTAATGTGAATAAAAGACGTTGCCAAGATGCAAATCACTCAATTATTTGTATATTGCATATGCTAAGTTAAAAAGGCAAAACCCTAAATTCACTCCATAAATAGGTTGGCAGAAACAAATTTACCCCTTAAAAAAATGTAAGAACAAATTATCCCTTTAAGTTATAAAACAAAACAAATCACCTATTTTTTAATGAAAAATATCAAAATTTTTTTTTTCAGGTCTGTATTTTTTAATAAAAAATATTAAAAAATAATAATTATCTTGATTAATAATTTAAAGAAGTAATTTATCTTTATATTTTTTTTTAAAGATAAATCTGCCTCTGTCAATCTATTTGAAGGGTGGATTTAGAGTTCTATCTCAGGAATATTACAAAAAAATGATGCAATGCATGTTGCAACAATAAGACTAGAAGTATGGAAAGAGTAAGGACCAAGGGAGTTGATATCATATCAGCTAGTATAGTTGGTACGTATGGATTTTTGCATTAAATCAAAATGATACGTGATTTAATTTTATTTTAGTTAAATTTCATTTGTTTCAATCAAATTTCAATATATCGGGTGATTCTCGATGTATCGGCTGGTACAAGAAAATTGGTCCATACAACTGATCAATTTAAATTTAAAAAAGGTAAATTCTATTTTTGGTCCTCAACTTTAATGTTTTACATAATTTTTGTCCTTTAATTTTTTATTTACTTTTTTAGTTCATCAACTATGAAAAATGTTTTTTTTAGTTCCTTCTATCAATTACTCCATTAAGTTTATCTAAATATATACATTTTTAGCCCCTTAATTTAAAGTGGATAGATGAAAAATATGTATATATTAGAAGTTGAGAGACTAAAAATAATCGTTTTAAACTTGTTTTTTTTTTATAAGAATATGATGGTTTTAAACATTAATATCTCTTATCTTATTTTAAAATTTGATATTTAATTTTAAAAAATATATATTTATAGTAATAAATTTGAAACAATACGTAAAAAATTCTAATATTCGATATGTATCATTCCAATAGCAAAACCAATACACATGTCGGTACGATATTGACAACTTTGGTAAGGACTATTGGCCAAAGAGTAATAATTGATCCAATCTCTTACTCAATATATTATAATATATTTATTAAAAAATTATTATTTTAAAATTTAAATTTAAAATGAGAAAATTTTAATTATAAAATTCAATAATTGAATTGGTAAGTATTGATAAATACATTGAATTAAAAATTATATCAATTATTTTCCTTCACTAACCATGCTTGAAAATTGTACTCACATTAGCTTTATTGACTTCTTTAAGGAATCAAATTTTGATCAATAAAATAGAAAATAAACTTCCTTATTAACTAATTCGCCAGTTGTACTTCTTATATTTTGATCATAGAATTTTACTACTCAACAGTTATCTAGCACTTTTACTGCACATAAAAGTAAAAGAGCTGTCATGGCAAAAAATTAATAAAAATAACCGTGCTTTATAAGTTATATAAAAGCATTATGTAACCATTTTAGAGCAATGTGTGAAATGAACCAATTCATTACCTATGATTTTATTTATTCTAGAGAAGCTTCGGAATCAAACATGATAAATTGGGAGAAAAAAAAATTTACAGACAAGCAAGCAAAAAAAAAAAAAAAAAAAAAAAACACACAATTAATGCATTGTCTGTGGAACCCCGCTTGATTTTCCCTAGGCCATTCAAGCTAAAACTACTTACTCTTTCCTTCTATATGAAAAAAGTGTCCCTAATTCATTTAGATGAATACGTAACGTTTTTTAACAGCAACAGGGTGATCTAATTACCTTTTGTATCTGCATGCTTTCATGAACCACAATTATAGTTTTTGGGTAAACAATAAGTAGAACCAAAGAGTGAATGCAGGAGAATTCAATAGAGAAAAGGGCTAATATGAAATCAGACAACAAACTATTAGAGAAAAGAACTGATGGAATTCAACATTGTAAAGGATTCATGAAAAGGAATTACTTCAAAAACCCATTAGATTACCGATCTTATTACTGGGGAATTTTATGAAACCAAATTGGTACAATGAATCTCATCTTTCTAGTAATATCCTAAAAAAACACTCATCTTGAACCTGATATATATATCTCAAACAGAAGGACGTGACAAGCTAATAAAATTCCTAAAATAATTAAACCTTTTTAATCAACCTCTTCAGTTCTACAGCCAAATTATTTTTCATATACTTCTTCTGTTTAAAAATATAAGTTATTTCAAAATATACTCCTCCTATTTCTAATTATTTTTCAATTAGCACATAGGATTACTTAGTTAACTTCGCCTAGTGCCCTATGGGAGGGTGTTCGGCTTAGGTCATGCCCAGGCTCTTTTTGTAATAATGAGGTTGTTTAAAAATAATATTATTTATTTTCCATAAAGAAAAAAAAATTTTAAGTTGTTTTACAGTTTACTTTTTTTACACCTATATCATAACTGACTTGTTTTATATAAATTTGATAAGAAATCTCTCATTATAAGTTTAAATTACCTTTATTCTATTAAATTCTTAACAATGAAAATTGGAGAAAATTTAGGTGACTCCAGAGGTACCTTTACGCACAGCAGTGTTTATCTACGTTACATTGCACCCGACAACAGCACACTATACGCACGAGCAAATTAATAAGAGGAAAATTTTTCTTCGATATTCAAGGGTTATTTTAGAAGTTCTGAAATCTAAGGAGAAACAGCTCTGTAGCTACGTTGTGGGACCTTCTTCAAAGTAGCCCGTGCCAGATCGAAGTAAAGAGGAAACTGCGCGGCCGCGAAAAGCGTCACCGGCAAGCACGTTACGGCATACACCGGAAAAGCAGCATATTTCAGATTCTCCTTGAGAATTAAGAAATGTCCTGCGCAGAAAGATACAAGCATCGATGCTATGGACACGAACAGGGACGTCAAACCAAACAACAGCTTCTTAGGCAAGTGTGTCATGAAGTCTCTCTCTTGGTACCGAGACGTGAGAATCACAAGGAACATGACCAAGGCGGTGATAGAGAAGCAGAGAGCGGTGATAGATGAGAAGGCGAAGACGTTAAATGCAGGTTGGGATTCCATGTTTGGTTTGCCATCATTCCGGGAACCGCCAGGAACGGCGGACGATGTGGCGAAGGCAACGGTGGCGATTAGCGCTGCCACCACTGAGCATGATTCGGAGGTGCTAGTCAGCCATTTTCCACCTTTTTCTACCAGATCACTGTGTGTGTCGCTGAAAATGTCCTTCGGGGTCTTCCCCTGTTTGTTATAGTGGCCCAAAAGGTGAGACGGCATGGAGTTCTTCACAAACTGCATAAATTTCACGAATAATTCACAAATTAAGCCTGAAAATTAGAGTGGAAACATAGGAAGATTCAATTTTATGATTAATTACCTTGTACCACTTGATTTCCCACTGCATCTGTAAAGCAGCGCCGGGAATACGCCAGGGCTTAAGGTCGCTGAGAATGGCGGCGAGGTGCAGTGCGCTGTTGCCGTTTGCATCCACCGCACCGAAAATGCTCTCTTTCATATTGTTTTGCTGCAGCAAGAGCTGGAGGACTTGAGGCTGCCGGTTCTCTGCCGCCAACAGCGCTATGTTCTTCTTCTCAGAATTTATATCTTGAATAGCCGTAGGACAAACTTCCAGAATTCTTCCGACCATCTCCGTGATTCCATACCTGGCTGCAATCAAAATGGGTGTCTCCTTCATGATGTTTCGCTGGTAGACATGAGGCTGTTGGCTTTCCACCGCCAACAGCACCATGTTCCTCTTCTCAGAGTTCATGTCATGAATTGCCACAGGACAAACTTCCAGAATTTTTTCTACCATCTCCGTGATTCCACACTTAGCTGCGCTCAAAAAGGGCGTCTCCTTCGTGATGCTTCGCTGGTAGACATGAGGCTGTCGTCTCTCCACCGCTAACAACACTTTGTTCTTTTTCTCAGAGTTCATATCGTGAATTACCACACCACAAAGTTTCTGAATTTTCTCTACCATTTCCGTTGTTCCACCCTTGGCTGCAATCAAAATGGACATCTCCTCCTTCATTTCGCTTATACCTTCCTTTTTTTCATCATCCCCTTCCACTTCTATCTCCAAAGCCTTATATCCGTTCTGTTCCTGATTCTGGTCATTATCAGAAGACATGAACTGTTGTTGGGGATGATCATTTTTCAGGAATGCCTCTCCTTCAAAAGCAACCTCCGAAGGTGATAGTGGGCTGATGCCATTATCTTTATGCTTAACATCCGAAGCACGGTTGAGTAGTTCATTCATGACTTGGACAGACCATTTGTGCTTCTTTTTCTTCTCTTCTAGCTTCTTGATTCTCCGCGACCCTAATTTTAACCACAAAATCAAAACATTAATTAGTCTCACCACAGAAACGTATCTGATACTAAACCTAATAAACAAAAATGTGATTTCTGAACCTAATCCAAAAACAATCAGCATTGCTTTCGACACCAGCTTGACAAAATCAAAACATGTGCGGTAATTGAGAGGAAGCAATTGCTGTCCCTGAGGGTTTTCTTCGTCTTTTTCCATGCAATTAGAAGATCCAAACACTGAAATGGGAATTATACCAATTAATCAGTTGAACTAAAGACGAAATTTGAACTAAAGGTCATGACAATTTTTTTAATACATACCGAGTTTGACTAGTCTCTTTAAGAGCTTAAGGAAGTGAATACAAGTTTGATAATTATCTGGATAGTTCATACTCTGCATTTCCTTGGACATGTTGGTGGGAGAGAAGTCGACCTTCAGATCATCGACAAATATACCTTCCAAGATTCATAATAAATACCAAAATTAAGAACAATTCATGGATCGAAAATGTGTTTGGACTGTCCTAAACTGCTAAATCTCATCCATTGCTTATTGGACGAAGGACTCTCCTGAAAATCAAAATGGCCTCACATCCAATAAGTAGTCCTTTTTTTATACTCTAGTACAATTTAGATTGAAATTTAAAAATAAAAAAAATAAAAAATAAAAAATAAAAAATAAAAAGAAGAAGAAGAGAGAGACTATTCATGTATGGATAGTAAATAAGGATAACTATAAAGTATCATATGAAGTACTAAATTACCGTGATAAATGATTCCTCTGCCCCACCCAAGGTGGCAGCCGCTCCTGAACGCGGTGGGTTTACTTGCTAGAATGTGAAGGGGAGAGAGCCCATCCTTATCCTCAGAGTTCACGAGCCTTTCATACAAATGAATGATTTGAAATGCTAAATCTGTCGACAATTGATCACAAAAGAAGCAAATAAAAGACATAGTTTCCATCCTTGTAGAGTAAGAATTAATTGTAACTAATCTCACCGAAGTAGTAACCGGAGATGGCACAGTGGAGAATAGTTTGGCCATCCTTGTTTCTAGAATAAGAGTATCGAAGTTCTGGATTACTTTCAAGATGAGCGTTGAGGCAGAGGAAAGCATCCTTTTTACCATGGAGGGCGGCAACAAACAGAGGGGTCTCATTATCAAGGTTGCGGACACCGATCAAGGAGTGATCCACCTCGGCAATGCAGTTACAAATCCTCCAGTTTCCTACTGAAGCGGCAATGTGCAGAGCGGTGTTGCCACGCTCGTTCGTGACTTTCAGAGCTTCCCTAGTACTGCCATTCTGCTTAATAATACTTACTAGTTCTTCTACGATGTCTACTTTGATGTTCGAGACAGCAACGTGCAAAGCCGTGTCACCGGACCGGGTGATCTTGGCCTTGTAGGCAGCTGAATCTTGCCGGTATATTTCAACAACTTTGTCCCACTCGCCTTTCATGGCACTGTGGAACAGTTCTTCGGCAATGCTGTTGTTATCAGTTGCGTTCGTGTTCATCTCCATTTTCTTCTTTCTTTCCAGAATCTAAATGTTTTAGTATTATGTTAGTTAGGAAACTGATGTGCTCATGATCTCAGTAATATAAAGTAAGGAATAAGAAAAGCTGAAATTAAAGAAAGAAAACTGGAAAGGACAAATGGAGTGCTTATTCGCGACACAAGAAAAGTATTATTCTAAGCCCTTTTTCTTTTGGAAAACCACCTGTACATTAGTTAATGTCACGATTGTCAAACAACAATTTTTACATCATCTTAGAAGTTTAAAAGTCATATTTGGATGGATAATGTATATGCCTTGGTTAAATCATAAAGATAACGTGGTGGAGGAGGTTGTTGTAGATGGTGTTGGGGTAGAAGCCTTGGAAGAACAAGATTACCAAAGGTAGTTGCTTGGAACTGTAGGGAAGTAGACTAAATCTTCTTTGGCCTAGTAATAATTGTGTTTGTGTTTGGCCTCGTATTGCATGCAAATACAAGGTGCTTGGCTTGGCTTTTGCTTCAATACACAGATGGCTTTTAAAAAGAGAGGGATATAGATCCTTCCCCTTAGGGAAGAAATTACCCATAATTCCATAAGCACTTTTCCTGTGAGTAACTAATTGTTTATAATAATTTTTAAACATTTTTTTTTCTTCTTTATCGACTTTTTAATTTACATACAAACTCATTTATTAGCCAAAGTTTCTTCTTGCACCCCCTAGAAAATATCTGTCTCCCCCAATTGAATACAAGGTGCTTGGCTTTTGCTTCGATACATAGATGACTTTTAAAAAGAGAGAAACAGGGTTCCTTCTCCATCTGAAAGATATCACCCATAATTCCATAAGCACTTTTCCAGCTGTAAATACTATGGGATACTAATAAGGATTTTATGATCCAAGGACGAGGCAAATGGGGTAAGAAGCCCCTAAACTCAAATTTGATGCAAACGAGCCCCTACACTTGTTGTCTTTTGGCATTTTAGCCCTCTGCCATTGTAGAAGGTGCAAACTGTCCCCAATATTTTTGAGTTGAAGCAAATTAGTGCACAAGAAAAAGGTGAAAGCAAATTGCCACCTCAAAATTTTGTTTTAAAGAAATTAACCTAAATTTAAAAATTGACGTCAATATAATTAATTTTCTTTTAGACTATTGGCTTTGGAGTCTAACGGAAAGTTGAGGGTGATATTATTCTTATACCCTCAATCACTAAAATCACATTTTTTTATTTTAATTAACCCACTTTTTAATTTGTTAAGAAACAAAACAAAAAAAAAATTTAAGAAAATACATAATGTGATGGTATAATAAGTAATTATATTAAAATAACATTAACTATTTAGAATGTAACAATAACACCACCTAAAATTTGATGTTAATTATTATATATTAAGTTAATTGGGATAAAAAAGAAATAAATTTTAACTATTAAACTATAAAACTTGGATGTGAGTTTTTTTTTTTTTTT